GTATATCCCAACGCCATCGGAAATATCGGGTAATACCCACATACCAACCAATCTTACGGCAAGCAAAGCACATTGTTCTCGATGTTCAAACTTGATCACCAGGAAACGCGAACCTAGAAGCACGTACTCACTTTATCCGAACGAAGGCGAAACGCGTTGGTTTCCGATCTGGTAAAGGTCTATACACTAAACTCGTGAGCTACGGTCTATATAAAGTTAGCTACTGTATATTTCGCTGTCAAAAGGCTTGTAACAGAAAGTAAACGACGACGTCGCGTACAGAACCCAGCTGCTGGCCGCTCATGTCGACTGAAAGTAAAAGCAAATTGGATGTACTATAGGGGAGAAATCGCGTACAAACTGTGTTTTGCCGTCAATATCTACGGATGGGTCAGCATTCATTTATATTATCAGTTCCTGCCAGATTATTTAGTAGAGCTGCGTAATTCATTCAGATTTCCGTTTAGTAAAATTACTTCCGCACGGTTTAATTTTTTCTAGAGTTCCCACCTTCTTTCAATCGCTGAATGGATTCTGGATATAAAATGTAGGGAATACTGATGTATTGGATGGAATGCGTTGGCCCCTCGCAAATAAAATACGTCGTGCGAAGCTTTACGAGGTTTATGTCAGTCGAACATTAAAGTGATGTCTTCGAAAGGTAAATGTCTGCAACCGCCTTACCTACAGTGTAATGAGGGTAGTATTTAAATAGTACTATTTAGTAAAAACTGCTACTTGAAAAATGTACTGCATCCGAAAATAACGTCAAACATCTCAGGATAATCCGACACGCGGGCACCATTGCAGCGAATGGCTACTACCGATTGTAGTTTTATTGATAACGTACCCCTGCACTCATTTTCAGTTTTAAGTATGATCAAACCGCTGGGAATCACACCGGAGCGCAAGCCTTCACTCTATGATGCAATATCTTACCAGGTTACGGCGTGCGAGAACTCATGGTGGAGACAGTTCTATTGAGGTTTCCAAGCGTCAAAAAGTTTAATTGTACCGTTCTCAATACCAGTGTGTTACTCGAGCGTCTGGCCATTCTCGTGCTCATCCTGCGCTTTTAATCATTCATCGTGTCGGCTCCAATCGGAAAAATAATTGCATCAGTCACCGCCTTGCTCCATGTTCCTCCCATCATCTTTTTTACGTCGGGAATGCGTGTAGAATACATCAAAATCATCGTGAGGAGCATTTTTAGACAGGGCCAACACGTTACGGGCTTCAGCGTAATCTTGGACGATTGTAAAGCCATCCTTGTAATCACTTCCTCGATCAACTTCACGAATACGCTTCTTCAAGAAACTCAATTACGAAATACCGTCTTCATGCCGTGACATCAGGCAAATTAATAATTTCGTCATGCTCATGGTTTTATTAGCTTAGGTATTATCAACGAAGCTCACCATTACGCTTTTAGTCACACACGCTAACCACCAAAGATGTGCTGGTGAATGTGATAATGAAGGTGGCAATTTTAGCGTTGCGTAATCTTTATCGAAGATATCGACAAATATAAAACGGTTACAGCAGCACAGGCATTTGGCTTTCGATGCAAGATAGCACTGAGGAAATCAAGATTTGAGTCTTGCTTGAACAGGGTTGTAGCTCCCTCTGGTCCGGAACTACCTAGCCGATCGTTGCAAATGCGTCTCTCGTGGGAATCGACTAGATGTGATCCTCGAGTCACGGTGTGGCGTAATATCGGGACGCTCAAGCCTATCTCTAGATTCCAGATTGCACCGTTGTGTAAGTGCGTGGTGGCAGGAGGCTTCTTCGCACAGCTATCACTGTTTTAACAAGATAACAGTTATGAAGGTAAATACATCGCTATCGTCGGTATCGCTATGAGTGGTGTCTTCTGTGGAGTATACACGTGTTGTTCCCAATGTCAACTACTGAAGCGAGTCACGTCTTCTCTCCCTTTTCTTTTTTATGAGCTACAAGTCTTAGCTGCAGGAATATGTCTGATGGATACATTCAGCTGAAAATGGATCTCACTAAATGGGATACCTTCAGGCATGATGCTACCACATACCTTCATAACTGTGGACGCCTTGACTCCACTGTTGAAGCAACGACTACACTTTGATTTCTGGCTATTTGTGGTTGGAATCGCGTTCTTCTTGTTGGTACTCGTTCTACTGCTGAGTGTTTCGTGTACTCACCGTCGGTTTATGGTCTACACGGTACGTCTATATTGTTCTCACCCGAATTAATAACACTGTACTCGTTCTTCTTCGAAGTCGATTTCGACTATAAAAACTGGAAAAGGCGTATTGCTCTCAAACCTAGAGCTAGAATTTGAAAAAAAAAAACTTAAAATAGTTTAGACCACATGCTCTATTTCTATCGTAAGTTATTAATACCCCAAGTATTAGTATTGATAGTTCCGGACAGCACAACAGCTTGTCATGCCCAAGGTGGCTCATGTTTCTGCTGAGAAAGATATTTCTCCGCTCGAGGATGTTTGTTATCAAGTCGTCACGCGGGATTATAGTCTACCTACATTTGATCCTGTCCCCATGGTCAAGACTGTCGTGCTAAGTCCGAGTGCAGTCAAGAGATTCGATCGCTTTGTCGTTGTCGCCAGACCCTACATAGGACCGGTTGCCTGTGCTGGATTAGCGATACGCTTTGCAGTATTTGCAACACCGGCAGGTGTAGGTCGAATCCTCGCTCCGATATCCGTGATCCTACATATGTTCGGTTTGATCATGACGTGTGCTCAGCTACGAACGGAGTATATCAAAATCATCCTACGCACATTTGATTTCTGGTTTCTCCAGACAGCAAATACGATTTGGGCCGTCGTCTTGAGTGCAGTTATGAGCGATCTTCGAGTGGTTCTTATCGTTTTCTGCTGGTTGGATTTCACAGCTTGGCTTCTTCAAGAAACGTATCTGCGGAATTCCAACGCTGTGGTAGCTGTCGCCCTATTCGAGTGGGTATTTTACGTGCTACTGATGGTTGAGATCGTGCTGGATTTGGTGGATCAAGTTCATCATTACGCTATTACTACTGCTTGTGGATGTACACTTTCGACGAAAGATATACTAGTGAATGTGATCGGAACGATGACAATGTTGTCATTGCGAAACCTGTGGAGACGATATCAACTCGTGAAGTGTCGTAAACCCGGGTACAGCTATGAAAGCTCCAGGATTTCGGAGTAAAATCGCGCTGCGTCCTGTCGGCCCATTGATCATCTCGCTTCGCAATAATGCAGGTCCACGCGACAAATGTCAAGAGTTGACGATACCTGCGTCGCGCAAGCAAACCTTTAAACAGCCGACCGCCTCTACAGATGCGTCTTTCAGCACCAGCTGATCGATTTGAAACCAAAGACACAGTATGGCCTCGAATTGGCGCACTAGGGCCGCTGAAGACTTGGAAAACGGCTGCTCTGTACACATGTGGAACTACAGGAGGAGCTTTTGCTACCCTTTCGTTGTTCCTGACAGGAAGCGAGCTCGGTGCTGTCATCGGATTAGTGGCAAGTGCTGTCTTTAGTGGAGTGTATGCTTGTTGCTGTCAACGTCAATTACTTGTGCGGCTCGTAACATCATTCCACTTCATTTTTCTATACTCACAGATCTTCGCGATTGGATTGTGTGTTGTTGATTTGCTCGATTGGAACTGGGCTTATGTTTGCGGTGTGGGGTCCAGTTTACTTTTAACTTTCACATTTCTGACCATGGATGCGCTCACTCCGATTATGAAACGAAGACTCTGCTTCGCTTACTGGATGGCTATTGCCGCCGTCGTGCTCTTCCTGACGGTGCATTTAGTACTGGTTCTAGATGTTTTGGTATTTGGTCATTGGGATCTTCAGGATCGAGTGTTCTTAAAGTTTTATTTGCTCGAACAACGTGCAACGGTTTACGTCATCCCGACCTTACTTAGCCGTGTTGCTACTGTCATTGTATGGGCCGGACGCTTTGTGTACGTTGCGATGACGCGCCAAGATGACAACGCGCTAGTTCTCCTTCGAGGAGACGTAGAATTCGACTTTGAAGGCTGAAAAAAAGCAAGTAGAAAATAAAGGCAGACTAACAAGTTGATCAGGAAAAATGCTGTAGGCGGCGTCGATCTGCAACAGTGTCGGCTTTGTCAATGTAGTAATTTTCATTCAACAAGATATTCAGCTCGTCGATCTGATGGTAGCGCCACTTGTTCAAGGCTGTTAGAACCGCTGGGAGAGGCTGGGACGTCTCGACTTGACAAAGCGCAGCGAACGATGCCAGACTGCGCGTCATCAATAGCGCGAGCGTTGCGCACGATTAAGTCGGATCTTCGTAGCTTTTTGAATCCTCTGTGCTTCAATTCGATCTATCAGGTCATTGAAACGAATTTGCTTGCGCTCTATGCGCTCAACCTCACGTCTGAACCAGCGAACCTCCTTCTTTAGGTGGCGCAATTCTTGTCGATAGTCTCGCGCTGGCATCTCAATACGGCGCAGTCTCTGGTTAACGCGGCGCTCAAAGTTTACCATCCACTCGGGAGCCTGATCCATCGAATTCTCGTTCTGCTCGCTCATGTCAGAACAAATGCTGCGACAGGGTTCGAGCTGGCAAGCTGTAAACATCAATCACATCAACACGGAATTATTACAGTTATTAACACCACAAATTTGATTTAAATTTTTAAACAAAATTTCCTAGACCTGAATGTTTAGATAAAGCTTAATGAATTAGCCTGATTCGACTTTTTTGAACTTACTGTTAGTTCTTTGAAATTTATCAGGCAGATTGTGTTGCAAAATTCTATTTTGTTTCTTTAATGTCGCTCCAGTGGATAAGCGTGAGCCACAGGCGACACCCGCTGAGCTGATCAGATTTTATACTTTTTTGGTTAGTATAGCTGCTTTGCAAGTGGTTGTTTTCGAGAACTCTACAGCTACGACTTGAAGATCTGTTATGAGAGAATATCCGCAAAGGGCCACGGATCAGAAGAAAAAAAATGGTCCTTGCGTCATTTAACAAGGAAAACACCACAACGCCCTTCATTATACATGGCAGTGACCCACGTCGAAACCTTGGAGCAGCTCTTAGTTACAAAAACGTTTACAGTATAACCTGTTCAAATATTCGTGGACGCCGCATCTCATGGCGGTCTCCGGAGATATTGACGGGCAACACTGGATTGTGGTCAGCGTATACGCACCGCATCAACCGGTTAAGAGGAAGCGATTCTTTCGTCAGCTCATCAGTTTGCGGATCCCCCCGGTGCGCGGGTGACGGTCGGAGGTGACTTCAATTGTACTCAAGACGGACTGGCTGATAGAAGCCATGTGCGCACGCCTTCACCGCATTTTTCTCCAGCGTTACGGGAGGTTGCCATGCACTGGGGCCTGATAGACCCGGGACCTTGAGAAGACCGGATGCCTGGAGTGACGAGACCCTGCTGCGCCACAGGCAGGATACGCATACTTACTTCTACACGATTCCTGGCTCGGGCCCAGCTTCGTCCAGGCTGGATCGCTAGTATGTGACGCCGGCTGCGCTAGACTGGGTGGCCCACAGTGAAGCTTTCGACGCAGGATCTCGCTCGGATCACAAGGGCGTCAAACTCCATTTGGTCTCTCCCTCCGATCCGATCAGAATTCGGAAACCCACGCGGGTTTTCCCGGTTCCGAAATACGCAGAGGATGCGGTCCGCCAGCGCACGCGCGAGCTCATTCAAGAGCTCACTGTTCGTCTGGAAACGGAGCGGTATACACCGGCCAAGTGTGCAGATGTCTGGGAAGATTTCAAGGTAGCGGTGGTCAAGACAACCCTGCGAGTCAAGAAGGAACGCCGTAAAGCTGTTAAGGGCGGATTGCAGCAAAAGCTGAAGCGACTCCTCCGACAACAACAACGCCACCTGGAAGAGGATAGGGGCCTGACCGGCACGGTGGCCTCTATCACGGACTTATTCGCGGCGTTGTCGCTGGAGGACGTGGCGGGCCCCAATAGAGCGGCTCGAGTACGTAGGGCGATCTCTGACTGCAAACGCGAGCTGGCGGCGTTGCGCCAACGCAGAGTGTTCACAGAAGGGGGCCATTGGACGGGCAAAACTACCAAGCGAATGTTCAAACGTGTGTCGGCCAAGTATCAAGACAACACGATCCGCCGGCTAGACCCGGTCGAGGGCGCCCCAGACCGGGATGTTCATGACAAGCACAACATTTTTGGTGACGCGTGGACGCCAATCTTGCAGCAGCCGGCCACACCATGCCACGCGGTGACGGAGGTGACCGAGTGGATGGACGCCCCGGCATCGACCTCGCCGGAACAGCTTGCGGTAGCAGGAACGATCACGGAGCTTGAAGTTACAGCTGCCATCCAAGCCTGCAAGGTGGGCAAGGCGACTGGCCCGGATCGATTGGGCAACGACTGGTACCGCGCCTTCGCCGCGGAGATCACGCCGGTTTTCACGATACTGCTCGACAAGTGGTATGAGGGAGGGGTTTTTCCGAGCTCTTTTCTCGACGCAGACATTTTCTGCCTGAAGAAGGGAGGTGACCCTCATAACGCCCTCAATTTCCGACCACTTGCGCTGTTAAATACCGACTACAAGATTTTTGCGCGGATCCTAGCAACAAGAGTGAGCCCGACTCTAGCGCAGCGAATCCATCCCAACCAAAATGGCTTTGTCCCAGGACGCACAATTCACGAGACTCTGCACTTATTCGAAGCAGCGCAGCGCATGATTTTAGCGGACCCCGAGCAGGAGGAGGCATTGGCCATGCTACTAGATTTCAAGAAAGCTTACGACTCGCTTGACCGGAAGTTTATGCTTAGCGTTCTACGGCGGCACGGCTATTCAGAAAAGTTCATACAGGCGGTTTGGCAGCTCCACGATGGCACCCACGTCCAGTCCCTGGCGAACGGAGCCAAGTCTAGGCGGATTCAGGTCACCAGCGGCATCCGCCAGGGATGTCCTCTTGCACCAATGCTATTCATCCTAGCGCTGGAGCCGTTGTGCCGGCGGCTAGACTCCGACACAAAGCTATCAGGAGTGGTGATCCAGTCGGAGGCTGGCCAATTGGAGCTGCAGGTGGCTGGTTATGCGGATGATACAGCGGTATACTTGCGTTCGCCCGCCGATGCAGAGCGCTTACGGACGATCACGCTACGTTTTGGGGAAGCCTCAGGGCTCAAGCTCAATGAAGACAAAACCATCGTTATCGCGCTCCATCCTCAGGGACCGCGGCCAGGTGCCGTTCTTCCGGATCCTCTCAAGTTCCAGCCACACAAAGTGTCGGGTCGATACCTTGGAATTCGTGTTGGGAGCGGTGTGTCACCAGAGAGGACATGGGACGTAGCGGATGCACAGCTACGTGTTCGACTAACGCTGGCAAGTCACAAGACGACAACCGTGGACCAAAGGAGTCTTATTGCCGCGGCAGTCATCGTCCCAAAATTGACCTACATCGCGCAGCATGCCTGGCCAGCGGTGGCCACAATTAACAGGTTCGCGAAGAAAATTCGCAACTACGTGTGGCATGCAGTTTTTGCGGAGGAGGCGCATGGCACACGTGCTTGGCTGGACGCGGACTTGGCTGCGCTCGACCGGACCAGTGGAGGTCTTGGGGTACCCGATTTGCGGGCGGAGGTGCTTGCGATGGCGGCATCTTCAGTAGCGAGATGGTCGTCTACCGGCACTCGGCTGCTACACATCGCAGGAGATGTGCTACATGGAAAGGGATCGCCGCGACAGCCCCCCAAGGTTTGGATTACCCCCAACGCTCTAAGCCCGGCCCCAGGCGGGTCCAGGGTGCTATCGTCAATGTGGAGCACAGGGCGGCAACTGGTGACCCGCTGCGGCGACTCGCAGATCCACCCCGAGAGAGCCTGTATCGTGACCGCGCTACGCACCCTGTCGCTTGACTTTGGACTACTCACTATCACGTGGGAGCTCGATGCTTACCGGGTGGATGGCCTCATGCTTTTTGGCTCAGTCTACCGGACCGCCTCAGCCACGCTGGAACAGTCCGAAGGCGCTCAACGCTTGGAATGGCTGCCAAAAGCGGGTCTTGCCGACCTACACCTCCATCACGAAGGCGGAGAGCTACTACCAGCTGCCCATGCGATACCCAGAGCGCCTGCGCGCGGACAGATAGCTGACGTCATGTCATGGACGCTCGAGAAGTATGGTGTACTTTGGGTGCACCCTACCAAGCCACGATGGGGGGGGGTCGAGGGGCGTATCGGGCTCCGTAACTTCCTAGTGGTGCTTATCACCAACTTCCCGACGATATTGGCACGGCGAGAGGAGAGTCACGAGGTCCGGATGGCTGCTCGCCCACGGGATCTCCCGATCACGGCGGCAGTTAGCACTCACGGCCAGCTAGTCATCAGTACCAGAGCCGCAGGCCCAGCCTGCGGAATTCAAGTGGGCAGTCAGCCCGCCTTGGTCTCGCAGTTACAGCGGGTTGCGCAACCGGACGTGCGCATACTCAACGTTCATCCACACATCCATCTCTCGCGCAGGGTCAGCCTCTGGGCAGCGATCCGCAGGCGGCGGCTTCCCAGGGGACACTACAAGGCCTATGTGCAGCGAGCTGCCAGCAGCAGGGGCCTCGGTGGAAAAGCTGAGGGCGAAGCAATGGGCGGAAAACAGTACGCATGCTGCGACGGGCTTAGCCGCGTTGGAGTGGAAGCGCATCCGTCGCATCCTTGGGCTTGGCCCCTGGGGAGAGTAGATCATCTATCGGCTCAAAGCTCGGGCCTTCTCCCTGTACGACGTCCGGAATGGGCGTTTGGGGTGCCCACATCCTCACTGCTGCCATGAAGCGGATGTCGACCTAGTCCACATTTTCTGGACTTGCCCGGCTGCGCGCTCCCTGCGAGGGACATTTTTAACCCCCTGGACGCGGCTCGGTCTCAACGAGAGCGATGTGGAAAAGGGAACTACCAGTCGTGCCGGACGCCTTGTGGGAAGCGGTTGCGCACCACAAGTCTGTCAAGGGAGACAAGACTGCGGACTTGGAGGAGGCCGTCACTGCCTTGGGGTGTTGGAGACTCGGGGCAGCGCTAT